TGATCATTTCTCTAAATGATCCATCAACAAATAATGATACGGTATGGCCACNCTCTCAAAATATCCATAGGCCGCGGGTAGCGAACAGCTTTCATCACCGCTTCTGCTAAGGACCGGCCACCACACACTTGTAAAAAATAAGCTGAAATTATTGAACCATGAAACAGCTGATGGCGCACCGTTGACGGAAACTGGTCCCGAGGCCTCTTGAACCTCTTTTCCCAATAGGGTTTGGAGGTCTGGCCTGCCAATCCCAACTGATACGCCAGGAACAGAGAATCCATAAGAATATGACCCCGAAAATTCGATTTTCTCTGCGATACTATCGACAGGAGAAAGCCCTTCGGCGTACTTCCCAGTGATATAGATTTGGACGTCGACGGATAATCCTGGGACAAAACCATGTAAGCATTGGCTGAGGGAGTCTTTGATCCAGTGTATATTTTCTTTTTCCGATGGTTAGCGTTGAAAACACGTATTTGGGGTGCTGACATACCTGATTCCCGGATCGACCATACAAAGACAACCCGTCGGCACGTCGTTTCTCCACGCCTTGCTTGACTTTGATTTGTGCTTAGACAGGAAATGGGAGCCTTTGAAGAGAGGACTCACCCAATCAAATCGATAAGGAGAGGAAGTATGAATGCAATTCCAGAACCCCCTTGAATAGGTTAGCCAAATAATTGAGTGTCAAAAAGGTTAATCGTACCAGCAATGAGGATAGAAGTAGAGTACCCAACAAGTGCAGGGGGAGAATCATACGGACCATCCAAAAACACTCGGAACTTTTCCCCCTCTGTTGCTCTGTCCCGCAACTTTCGTGTGAAGCCGTCATGCACCCGAGCATAAAAAATGAGCTTGTTCCCAGATGGAGAAGGATCAGGGCCATAAGTCGTCGATATCGTGAAAGGGTGGGCCTCAAACGGCCAGGACGAGACTCCGGGGAACGAGAGATAGCTGCATTGACCGGCTGCCCAGCGAAAATGACTTGGTCGGCGAAGGGTGATACGGAGAAATTGAGGAGAGAGAACATCAACGGACGCATCAAAGTCTTCCGACGTTGAAGGTGTTGGTTTGAAGTAACCGAAATTGAATATAATGATGCGCGCAAAATGCATGAAACGATCTAAACCCCAAAGTATCATTGCGGGTAAGATTCCATAGTAGGCCATACTGATTAATAAGATTTATTTATTAGTTGGCATACCCCTAAAGAAATTTGGCACTTACTGAATATCCTTCAGGTGAACATATGTAGCAACGAGAAACATCCTTTTCGTTCGCTAGTGAGTCGGAAGCCAACATCCCCAGAAGAGGATAGATACTCACAAGACGAGGACGCAGTGTACGACGAAAAAGAATTGATAAGCACGCTCACGCACAGGGCGAATACTAACGATGCATAATAGCGCGAGGGAGCTGAGGGCAAACAAGCCTACACGGACCAACGGCAAGGTAGCTGGGGCACCCGTTTTCATCTACATAGAGGATAAGTCAACAAGGTGCTATTTTGCGTGAAAAACTTACCTTGCCAAGAGCGTGAAGCCAAACCATAACACACAAGACGCGAGCCGTCATTCTGTGGAGATAGCTCAACTAGATACAAATAGTTAGAGTGCTCTCCTCCGTGACTTGAAACACTCTTGTGTACCTTGATGTAGCTGATGCCAGTAATCCCTACACAACATGACATCGTAAGAGATAGAAAGATAGAACGGAAAAGTTGTACAACTGACATGAAATAATGTTTGCGGGTACCCAAAGCAACAATAATGGGGATCTGCGACGCTGCGATATCGCCAGCCCTGTTTCCGAAATAATGTGGTTCAAATTTAATTCCAGTGGTTGAAGTTGCTAACGAGACATGATTTTAAGTTGAGCGATCAAGAATAAAGATGAAAAAACTCACTGTTAACCAATGCGAACACAAAGAGCAGAGATATGTATGCCGCCGTCAAGGCGACCTCTACCAGATTCAAAGAATACGATAATCCGAAGGAGATCGTCCACCTAAACCCGATAGAACGGGTTACATCCGCCACAGCAAGCGGAATCCTTTGCAGAGATACAGCTCCTCGCTTGGCGGGGCGAGTGAGAAAGATGTAGAAAAGGTTGAGAACATGGAACAGAGATACGGCGGCAATCAGACCAGCGATCACCCCAACCACTTCCTTCGGATACAACGCAGCACGGGAAGCGCGCAACTGCTTGTCGAGGGCAGAATTGGAGAGAGCGATGCCAACGACGGTGGGCTCCCCCATGATGATTGAGGTCCTGCCAGTGGGCTTAGAAAAGTCATCTTTTATATGTAGAAAGCAAGGGTCACCTGGACGTTGCGCCACTCATCAATTTCGCCATAGCCCCTTCAAGGGTTAATCCTATTCCTGGCCAGCGCATGCAATATGTATCCGCCTTCTTTTCGGCGGTTCTTGGAAAAACCTTTCGGAAAAGTCGCAGTTTGTAGGGGGTCATGACCCAAGCAAAGCGTCGAATTTTCATATTGGTTGTAAGGCTGCCAAGTTGCATTGAATAGATATTCAACGCGAGCACAAGCAAAGAATCTCGAATGATCTTTCCAATAGGTACGTGAGTGACGTCCCCGTGAAGGTCTTGAGCACTGACTCCGTCATCGGGGAAATTTTATCGTGAGTATAAAAGAATTGGCGTGCGGAGCCGGAGGGACCAAGGTTTGCAAGGAGACGGAAAGAGAGGCAATTGCTGCGCCGAAGTTGTTTGAAGGCCAGGGAGCTTTGAAGGACGATCGGAACAAGAGTACGAAATGCGATCAGGAATGCCGCTTTGTCATTGTGATGACAGCTTGCTGAGCAGCACCGAGCTGTTTTCTTCCCTTCTTTTTGCTATCAATGCTCTTCTACAGTCCCTCACTTCCCTATTCCACCCTCTATTTTGTATCTGGTATGCTTTCCTAGGGCCATCTTTGGATCATCCGAATCACTGATTTCATGTCTAGACTTCCTGATAACGACGACGACGACCTCTCTTACCCGTGTGAGAGGTTCCAGCTGTCCTTGAAGCTTGAAGGACAATGGGGAGTCTGGGGACCCGGTGAGTGACTCCCCCCGCTCCTAAAATATGTAGGACTGACATACTGCAATAGGAGCTGTAGTGCCGGCGCCACGTCACTTTGCCCTTTGTTCGACGCCAGGATTTGTGCTGCGGTCAGTCGTTTTGGCTAGGTATCGAAATTGATTATTTCCCCAGGATGCAGGTCTTATATATTCCCTTCATCGGTCCTTAACTTGTATTGCTGTTTATTGTATCGGAGGTCCCTTCGCCGCACATCAAATTGAAGCGTTTGGGAGCTTCGCCGTTTTCAATCTCGAATCAGGTATCCTTTCCGCGTTAATATTCAATCTAACAATCTGCTTTTAGGTTCTACAAATACAAGTTTATTCCCTATACGACAAAAAGCCCAAAAGATGGAGAGAAAGAAAGAAAATATAACAAAATTGATAACTTTAAAGGTTATAAATTCGAGGCTGCGTGCAGTAGGCGGCGAAGTTGTTCTGAGAGATAAACACTACACCGAGGGGAGCCAGGATATCGAAACCCAATTTCCTGGAGCCAAGGCAGACTTTGAGGACCTCACAGCGGTTGCGCTCCGTGACAGCGGTCTCAATAGCTATACTTCCCAGTGGCTGGCGTGGATCTGATGAGGAGTATCGAAGGACAAAGCTTGGGGCATCATCGATGAATTGCCACTCTTTATCGACCGCCCGAAGATAAGTGGTGTTCCCAGAGTCTTGGAGTGAAAAGTTGAGATACGGCGAAATTTGATAAGTCCCTGTCATGCATGGGACGGGAATTGAAGTTGAGTTTATTGTGGTTACGCATTGCGCTGAGATGGAATTTTTTTTTCCGGGGGAGGCGATTGATACGGATTGGATGTTTGGTCGGAGGTCGGCGGGAACGACCCCTTGTGATGCTGCGCCGACGAATGAGAGCGTTTGGGTTGATGCGTTTGGGTCGTTCGTCATTACGTAGTCGAAGTAGTGGATTTTGGCTGTTGAGTCTGGGGTTTCGGGGTAATAGAATGTCATGAAAGGCTGTCGAGAAGAACCGAGTGAGGGAGATTGGATGATGGCTTCTCCCGCGAAGGAGTCACCACAGAGGTGCGTCCATTGGTACTATAAGTGTGTATCGTTAGCAGGGGTATTCGCGTAAATACATTTCGTCTTACCTGTTGGGCGAGGGGCAGGCCAGCAAATGGGGCAAATAATGGGCCAGCGCACATGGCGAAGGCAATGGGAAGGACGATTGTGAGATGGAAGGTCCTCTTCAAATACTTGATGAATTTCTCATATAACTTGTCCATTGGGGACGCTGTCATCATTTCACGGGTCTTCCACCATCTTACGAGCTCGAAGTAACTGGTCCACACCAGTAGGTTGATGACGCATACCACATATCCACTGACGTACACTGATCGACCATGTCAGGGCGGGTAGACTCTAGAGCGATGGGCGCGGTGAACATACGACATGAAAATGGTTTCCACAACTTGTGGTGGGCGGTTACTATATTACGGTGGTTGGGTTTTGACCCTCCTTCCACGTCTGAAATTGAGGAGCGTCAGAGTTTGTCATTCGCAGTTCGGACGTGACGGATACGAACATCCCAAAATCCAGGCGGCTTGAAGTGACGAAACGGAGAGCCACACAACGATGACCGTTTGACGACTTGAACTTTGACACACACACAGTTTGGTGTTCGACTTACCACCTAGCCATTGGAGGGGTGACCAGGAAGCGCGCCGTGTTTCCAAAAGATCTTGTTTGCAGGAGTTTGGTCGCCCACAAGGGGGTTCAGGGATCTGAATGCTGGACCAGGGGTTGGGTAGGTAGGTCGGCCATAGGCCGAAAAAAAGATTTTTGGAACCCTCTACAAGATAGTCCTAAATTGGTTTTCCAAGGTGATTTACAGTATTCCTGCATCTAGAATATCATTGTATAGTACATTATCTTGACTGGTTATTATATTTCATTATATCCAGCCCAATTTCTGGCTTCAAAATTGTTTTTCACAGTCTAATCTTCATCAAATTTTTGTCTAATGTTTTAATCAATCACAATTTACTGACAAAACAGTTAGAGACCAGTTTTTGACACCAATGGGTATGCTGTGTGACCTGATTTCAAAACTCGAATCATCTTGATGCTTTCGTAACATCAGACACTCTAAACTGATGCCTGTGTGGTGTGGTATTGCACTCAGGATGCAATGGCTTGGTAAAATGGTTGGATGTGAGACTCAACAGGTGAGTATCAGTCTTGCACAAGTTAATCACTACACTCACCTATTTTTTAGTACCACCTACAATGTGTTGCATTGGAGATAGCCCCACGAAATTGGGTATGCGAAGCCTTAGAGGATCAGAGCAATCATGATGATGATGTCATATTGCCATATATAGGCATGTGCCTGATTACGTAGGTAGGTAGGTCAAGCATACAGGGCCTTACAAAAAAATTCGACCCCAGCTACTTTTTTTAAATTCTTGAACCCCCTTGGTCGCCCAGTCAGTAAAAATCGGACACCAGTATAGAGATACCGGGGCAGGCTCTTGAAGTAATTGCATATATCGGTCGATCGCTTGATGAGTAATTCGCCGACGGCAAGGAAGGGCAGTATTATAGAGAAGACTGAAGTCACCTAGAATTGCAATATGGCTAAACGCAGACGGTTATCATCGGACCATTATTACCTGGCCATAGTTGAATTGATAACCATCGAATGTTAACCCTCTGGCTATGCCAAGGGACCAACTCCAATGAAAACACAAAACAACGAGGAAAAGCATCCACGGGTGAGACTGCGTGATAATGGACCTAGCGGTCTCATGTTATCCCATCGAGCGTGTTAAGATCAAATGACCTACCAACACGCCATCGGTACATGCCAGACGGTTAAGAAAATTCGCTTCCATGTTGGGAGACCTAGCAGTTCATCTTGCCGGGTTTGGTATTCATAAAATATGTCGTATCTGTGGCGAACTAGATAGATTCCGTATATCCAGAGGCCTAAGCGACACCATTCCCAATCTTCCTCTTTCCTCGATGTCGTTTATTAAATCCCGCTTACCCATGGACGCCGATAAAATTGGATGCGAGTTGGAACTCAGTCCACAGAGATAGTGTCATTCCCCGGCAGAGTGGACTATTGCTGAAGGCCTTTGTGTAGAAAGACGTCATGAGACTCACAAACAGCCAGAGAAAGGGTAGGATCAGGCCGAGGTACCGCACAACGGCCTTAGACGACGCCAGCTTCTTAAAAAGAGTATTCGGACGGCGGAAAACGTCTCGAAATGAATAGACACGGTAGACTGTTATCGGTGAAGCAGTAACGGCGACAGCATAATGAGCATCGAACAAGGAGAGGTTCTCGCTCCCAATTAGTGATGTGCAGGCCCGGCTTGGCCCGAAAGCCACGGCTATGGCCCGGCTTTCAGCGGCTCAGGCTTGACTATATTCAAGCCTGAGCTTTTTGCAAGGCTTCAGGCTGGCTCAGGCCCGGCCCAGGCTCAAGCCACGGCTCAGGTGCTGAAGTCGAAAAATATGCACAAACAATCAATTAGTCGAAAACTTATCGCAAGTTCTTTGGAGTTTACGGTATGTCTCCTCTATCACTTTCTTCGAAGCTCCTGACCATGCACCGTACAGTTCACCTCGCACGTCATACCTCCCTTAACTTAACTTATAGGTTTCAGCATGGCAAGGTGCTGGATATGGGGTGTCACGGGAATATGACGAAGTGGGCAAAGGCGCAAGTGAGGGAGTTGCTTGGAGTTGGTGCGTTTTTCTTCCATTTTGGAAATAGGGAGTTAATGGATTCGTGCGCTCAGATATCGCAGCGGTGTCGGAGGATCAAGCGTGTTGACGTTGGGAGCCAATGCATGGTTCGTGGTTCGGAGCTAGTTTTGCTGCACTGGGTTGTTACACCAGGCCTCGCGTTTTCCCCTGAAAAACTCGTGCAACCATTTGACATCGTCTCAATGCAATTTTGCATGCACCACACTTTTGAGACTGTCCAAAGGCGCGTTGTATGCTTGACAGGAACGTCATTGGTATACAGAATTCGGTTTGAAAATCAGGACTCGAAACCGATGTTTGGCCGCAGCTGAGAATGTACCAGAGTATGTTGCGCGATGGGAAAATTTTGGACAGTGAGTTACTTGTGAGTTACCGCCTTTCCGTGCTGGCATTCTATTCAAATTTCAACTACTTAATCATACCAACCGTACCCCTCCAAAGCAAGGTCCCACCAATCTTTGAGACCATGGCTCAGGCCACGGCTCAAGGCTTCATGCATTGTGAGCCTGAGCCTTGGGCTTTCCTGGGCCTTGACGACGGCCCAAGAAGGCCCGGCTTTGGGACGGCTGGCTCTGGCTGGCTTACGGCTTTGGGCCGGGCCTGGCACATCACTACTCCCAATGCTTGACGCCGTTGCGATGAGAATGGGATAGACTTGCGATATAAGCATAAAGATCGAAGTCTTGAGGTCATCCTCAGGCTCTGACCAGCGTAGGAGGATCGCTATTATCTCGAGATGTGGGATATGTTTAGAAAGTTCCGCGAGGGTAACTTACGAAGAAAAATATTGATGGCCATATCTGCGTTTATACATACGTCAGAGAAGTCGCCAATTTTTCGAAGACACTGAACATACTGGACACTCCTACTGCAATTCCTCCTACATCTGGGTCAACGAGGCCAGTACGAATCGTCTGAGCAGTAAGGCAAGGATCAGGTAGACTAATGGAATTCATGGTCGAGTGGATTAGAGGAACTTTGGTGTAATAGAGATGGAAGAGGCGGATATTTGGGGTTTTCCTCAACTTGATGTTGTGCGGTTGTTACCATATCTATAGTTGTAATGATTGAATGTGTGTTCTCATGATCTACGCGGCAATGTCAGAAGTAAGGGGAGGAGGAACTAATAATGTTACTTGCTTTGGGCTGGCTTCGGACAGCCTCGACCTCGATTTGGGAAAAACTGACGATCGTGAGGCAAGATTTCATTGTTTCCAGGTACCCGCGACAGTAAGATTGACATCTGTCTGTCCTTTCTGCGGATTCTCTCGTCATTTGCACAACATTTCCAATTTTACACTGCCCTGTGAGAATATTTAATTTTAGGGTACGCACGCGGGGCAACTCGAGTCGTGTCCAATTCATTATCAATCGACACCTGACGTTAGCTGCTTTAAGAAAATAGTGAAGGAATAAAACAATCATACTTTTGTACAACGCTCACGAGAAAACGGCAGATAAATCATAGGCGCCGAACAATGCTGAGTCTAGGTGTGAGGCTCACGACTGTGAAGCCTCAGTGCGTGCGGGGACTTCGTGCGTGTGAAGTCTCGTAGTACCGTAGTCGAATGTCGTAGTGTAGAGTAGATGAATAGAAGTGATAGGAGAGAACGCAACTGTTGTGGTTGCGCTCGTCTCCTAGGGTTGCCTAGAAGTCCTAGGCAGACCCTCGTTAACCCAGAGGAGGGCTCTCGTATCCTGTGGAGGAGGGAGCATTATGCAGGGAGCTCGCCCTTTGGTCTTACCAGCAGTGGACACAGGACACACTTCACGCGAGCTTGGTAGCAAGATGAATATGGTTTATGTCTAGAGATTGCTACGTACAATAATCGTCAAGAAGTCAAGATTATGTAAGCGAGTCTGCGCGTATTCTCCTATTCCGTATCACAATGCCCCCCTGCGCGCAGTGTCGCATTACATCCTCATGCGAAACCTCCTCGGTTACCTCTATCCCGACGGTCCCTCCTCTTGCCTTTGCCCGGCGCTGGCTGCTTCCCTTCTCTGATCCGTTGTTCGTCTTCTTCCTTCTGCTTCCGTCCTGCTCTGCGACTTCGTCGTGCACGGCTCGTTGGCACGTTCTCCTCCCGATCCGAAGGCTCTCCTTCCTCCTCCTTATTCGCCAGTCGTTGGTGTAATGACCTTGTCGAGTTACTCTGGAAGGGCCTCGAAGAGGACCCTTGCACGAACTCCGGGCTAGGCGACTGTAATCGTTGTGATAAGGAAGCTGGTGGAGCCACACGATCGATTAAGGGAGCCGGATCACGTAGGCGCTGTGCCAAGGGAACGGCAGTGGTATGAGGTCGATCCGTGCTAGACGGAGAGCGCAAGCGTCCCAGTAAAGATGAACTGGACGTAGTTGGAGGAGGCTGATGTGGGTCCTGACTTGCTGCTGGCAATGAGGGGCGGCCGCAAGAGGCGCAGTTGTTGCACGACGGACAATGATGAGGCTGCATTGGGGGATAGCTCATGGGCGGCCAGTTGGGCAATGGGATTTGCTCCGAGGGGTAGTAACCCGGATAATGGATTGACCACGGATTTTGAGTTGGAGGGCCGAAACCCCAAGGCATGTAGCCCGGTGAAGGTCCCCAAGATGGTGGAGTTGGTCCCGAGGGAAGAGGATTGGGTGTCGACCATGAAAGAGGGGTGGGGGTCGACTCCCAAGGGTTAGAAGTTCCGCTAGGGGTGGG